TTGTCTGTGATTAGTGAAGGGATTTAGCATTATTGCCCTGTGCAGAAGTCTACCCAAGCGACTGCGATGGTCTCAGTTTTGCCCTCACATAAATGTGAACTGCAGTGAGTAACTCCAGGGTTTCTTCTTCCTCTCTTTTTCAGGTTTCTGACTGACCTTTTGCATTTTTTCCTGTGGCGGGCAGACACAGAGTGCTTTCCATCCACATTACAGACTTCTGAAGAGCAGTGCTATCATTGCCATAATCCTTCTGTGATTTGACTTCCAGTTACATTAAATCCATGAAAGTGCTGCCATTCTTGTATGCACACTGGTCCAACACGTAAAATACTTGGTTGTCACTGTACTCAGGTACGGGGCAAAGTAAGGCCACTTTGGCTCCCCTGTTTTCTCCAGTTGTCTGTAGGGTGATGTCATGTATCATAACTCAGCTTTGACAGGAACTTGCAGGTCACTGAGCACTAGAACAGTGCCTACTGTCAGGCACTACAACACTGTCTCCTGTGCTGAAGATATTCAAGAACTGTCTGGATGCAATCTTGTGCAATGTGCTCTAGGATGACGCTGCTTGAGCAGGGAGGTTGGACCAGATGACCTACTGTGGTCTCTTCCAACCTTACCCTTTCTGTGACTCTGTGAAATATGGAGCTTTAATCTGTAATGGTTGCTCTAGAATTTCCTTTGGTTTACTTTCATACAGAAAACTTAGGAATCAAGCTGTTTCAAGGCCTGATGAGTCAGTGAAAAGTTTTCATTGTTTAATGGATGACAGTTGGAAGAGTTTCAGTGATTTGCAAAAAAGTGGAGAAGTACAAGACTTAACATGTTTTAATAGAAAGGATTAAAGATGTGGTACCAAAACAGACAAGAGGAAGATGACTTCAGACTCCATCCAAAATCCACTGATCAGATGTCAACTTCCATTGACTTCAGTGGGTTTTCAATCAAAACCATATTTTTTTATTGAAACAAACAACTTTCTATTCCTTTCTACAAAGCTCTTTTAACATGTTTAAATGTGTATATGGTATATCAACCTCTGTTCATGGCTAGAGGAGTGGATCATCTTCTGAAAACTGCAGCAGCCACCAGATCTGGATCAAATATTTTCTGAAGACAAAAAGACTGCTAATCCAGTAGATCCTTCATAGAAACAGTAGCATCACTACTTCCCACACAGTAGATCAAAGAACGAGTACTACTGCTGAGCAGTGTGAGAGATACATCCAGTTCTGCCCAGAGGACACCTGAAAGGGCCCTCAATGGAAAATAAATAACAAACTAAAAATAAGCATCTCTAAAGCCAAAGCATGTAGGTAATTGTTTAGTGGAATTGCTGCCCTCCAGTTATGCAGCTCGGCAGAGACTGCTCAGATCCAGCCCTCATCTTCCCACTGAAGTGTGATGCTCCACTGGGATATCACCTCTGTTCCTTGCACAGAACTGAGTGGGCCATGCCCAATTTGTGGAGAAGAGGTGAATGCACTGGCAGGTGCACATGTGACGCCACCTAAAATAGTCAGGCATGTCTGAGGGACTGCGTTGGCCCCAAGGGCCCCCTGTTAAACTGTAACAGGAGTTCTGCATACCTACACGGATGGCAATAGAAAAAATGGTGATCTTTGAACAAGCCTCTAGTTAAAAAGTAAGTTTGATCTTTTGAATTTTTGAGATTTTTTTATGACAGAAGTCTAAACCAGATGGCTCTGACTGGGTGCTAGGTGAGGTATTCCCCTTGTGATCTGCTTCTAAAATTAGCTTCATGCATTGACTTGAAAATGTTACTCCCAGCTCATCCTTACCCTTGGCAGAAGGCTTGCAGGAAGAGATTCAGAGAGGATCCTCTCTCTTCACACGATTCAGGGGCCAGGATTTCACTCTGACAGATAAGGCTGAAAGGCTTCTGCTGCATCTCCCCAAAAACAGCATCACACCCTCTGCCAACACAGGTCTTTCCTTCAGGTTACCTACTCAGCATCTCTGAGGAGGCAGAGGCCATCCTCCCAGGCCTTCCATCCCTACTAATTTCCTTGAAACTTACTGTGACATGTATCTTCAGGGAACATCATCACTCTTTAAAGACTTCTTAAGTGTAATTGAGAAATGCAGACACTAGACAGGCGATCTCTACATTTCTGGGCCTTTCCATCTACCTGGCTACCTACAACCATATTGCAGGAATCATAGAATCATAGAATACTTGGGTTGGAAGGGATGAATATCATCTAGTTTCAACCCCCCTGCTGTGGGCAGGGACACCTTCCACAAGCCCAGATTGTTCAAAGCCCCATCCAACCTGGCCTTGAACACTTCCAGGGATGGGGCTTCTACAACTTCTCTGGGCCACTCTGTTCCAGTGCCTCACCACCCTCACAGTGAAGGGTGATAATGAACTATTGAATGACAGCTGTAAACATCTCTTGCTCTTCTTTAACCAGTAGTACAGTATGAACCCAAAAGCTTATGATCCTGAGGAAAGTTTGGGGAGAGGAGAACACTCGCCTCCTCGTAACTATGTGATTTTTCTACTCTCACCTCAAGAGGCAACACTGACAGACAAAGAAAATAAAACTGTGCTGAAACACCTCTGCGCACTTCCTACCCTCTGCTGAACTCCCACCAGCCCTGCAAAGCAGCAGACAGCAACACCTGCCCTGGAAAGATGCCCTCAGTTTGTGGCCACGCACAGGTCCACAGGGGGTATTCACCAAGCCACCGGCTTGGGTGCATTCACAGCTGCATGTTTGAGCAGGTCCCATGGGGCCACCAAGAGCCAGGAAGGAGGTGCAACTCAGTTATCTGGCTTGTGAGGACTGAGGCATGCAAGGCAGGCAGCCCCTCAAAGGAGTGGGCTTATGCTACCAAGCTTTCAAATGTTTGGATATCAAGTTGACTTTTGGATGTCCTGCATGAGGTTATCTGGAAATTGTCTCTCCAGTTTTCTATGGAATTAATCTGTTTCAGCAATATCAGGCCTCCTACCTCTGACAATGCTATATGTCCTTACCACATACTCTTTCTCCTATCCCTGCAATTGCATACCCACCGTGTAGCCTTTCTCCTCTCATTTCTCCTCACTGGCCACTGCTCTTCCATTTTCCAACTCAAGCCCAAGCCTGGTTACACTCTTCCTCTCCAGCTAATGATACCATTGTTCATCTGCCTCAATATTTTGTTCTGCAGTTTTTCAGTCCAGATCATCTCCTTTCCTCCCGCCTCAGGAATTTCTCCTGAGCCATCCTCTGCCCCCATCATCCCTTTCGTCTCCTTTCAAGAAAATTACTTCTCCTGCTCATGGACCTCAACCTGCCCTATGCTCCTGATGCCAAATGGGTTGACACACTAGTGTGAGCTCTTGCTCAGGTCCACCCAGACTTATTATCCTACAGCAGACTTACCACTTGGCACTGTTGACATAGGAGGAACTACAAGTTATGAATTAAAATGGAGATTAATTCCCCACCTGTGGCTTGCCCTTTTCCTTTCCCAGCCCTGCATAATGTGACTGCTGCAACCTGTCTGTGACAACACAAACCCCTGTATGATTCAGTGGCAACACATCACTGTTTTGAAAGATGCAAGACAGAAACCCTTCAGAACACCCTTTTCCTCCATGGCCACCACTGTCAGGAGGCTCGGAAATGTGGGAGCAGCCTTCCCTGTAACAGGCAGGTTGCAGGACAAGCCCCTGAGTAGCTCACAAGCAGCCATGGGGGCCATGGGGGCTCAACAGGTGCCTGGAGGCTAGAAGTCCCTGTCTAGACGCTCTCACCTGGAGGGCAGAGAAAATGACAGCAGCAACATGAGCAAAATGCTTCTCTGTGGTATGTAACTCAGCACTGAAAAATTAGAAAGATGACAACGATCAGCCTACCTGTACCTTTTAAGGTAAAAACATAGAGATAACACCGCTGTGTGAGTCAGATGTTTGACTGCTATCAGTAGATTATGGACTAATTACCTTTCAGGGAGCATTTTGGTGATGATATAACCGCAGCAGCACTTTTGAAATGCATTAGAGAAGGCAGCATGGTAGTCTTAAGACACTGTCATGCTGCTCTTTAAAACAGAATTGTTCTTAAGTTGTGCAAGTTCAAAGTGCAGAGAAAGACATAAGCAACATTTTGCAGCGCTTGCAACACGCCTCCCAGGTTAGATTCAGGTAAGTAAAAAATGTGACTACTCAGAAGAGCTCCACCCTAATGGCCCTCTGCTGAGACCTAAAAATGGTATGGTGGCAAAAAGAAGATGTAGCTGCATCCTTTCCTATTTTCAGTGCTTAAAACTGCTGTGTGGTATGATGACCAGTGCTATTGAACCCATTGGACCACATGGGGCTTTTTGGCCCTAAAATGTGTGAACTAAGCCACAGATTTCCAGTTCCCAGGAAAGAAGGGAAAACCTCTTATGCTGACATGGCTCCATCGGTGAGTTACCAGAAAAGAACCAATAAAACAAGAAATGTCTTCAAAGTTGTGAGCGATCCGGGGTTAGCTGCCGTCACTTAAGTCGCTCCTTTAAAGCCGAGCCGGGACGGAGGAAGGCTGCGTTTCACAGTTTCACTTCAGCCTCTCCGCCCCGACAGCACGCCCGGGCTCGGGAGCCAGCGCCTGCGGGCGTCGGCGCAGGACAGCCCCCTCCCCGGGGCGCGGATCTCTGTCTCTCCGGGGACCAGCCCGCCCGCCTCAAGCCGCCGCGACAGAGTCTCCGGGGCTGCGGGAACGGGGTGTGCGTGGGGTGTGTGCGGGGGGTGCCCTCCGCTGCAGTACCGCGCCTGGCCGCGCACCGGCAACAGGCCCCGCGGCGGGGCGGCCCCGGCGGGCGGGGCGGGAGGGCAGAGCGGCGCGGGGCGGGGCGCGGCGCGGGCGCTGCGCGGCGGGCGCGGGCGGCGCGGGGCGGTGCGGTGCGCGGCGGGCGGCGGGGCCGCGCGGGGCGCTGATGCCGCGCGGGGCCGGTCGCGCCGCGGGGCGGCGGGGCGCGCAGGGCGGGCGGCCGCGGGGCGCTCGGCCATGGGGCGCGGGATGTGGCTGCCGCTGCCGTCGCTGCTGCTGCTGCTGCTGCTGCGGGGCGCCGCCGCCGCTGCAGGTGGGTCGCGACCGGCCGCGCTCGGCGTTCTCCGTCCTCCGCGGGCGTGCGAGGCAGATACGGGCCGTGCGTGCGTATGTGTGTGCGCGCTGTGCGCGCCCGTGTGCGCGAGTGGACACGGGCGTGCGCACGGCTGTGTTCGCCCGTGTCCGTGCACACGCACACACGCGTGCACATACGCAGGTGTGCGCGCACAGGCTGTGCGCGCCCGCGTCCGCACATGCGGTGCGTCTCGGTGCGCCGCGTGCGCGGGTGCGTGTGGAAGGGCAGGGGCCGAGATGCGCATCCCACCCGCATCCCGCGCCGCAGACAAAGAGCGGTCCGGCCGCGGCGCATCGCGCTGTGCGGGGCCGCCCCTGCTCGAGGAGCCTCCGCGGGGCGGCGAGGCCGGGTGGGCTCGGGACGAGGCCTGAGTTCAGGGGATGCCCCGGGAGGGGGGCCCGTCTGCGGAGCGATGCGGGTGGCAGTGGCGAGGCACTGCGGGTTCCGCAGGCGCTTTGGGCGGCGGTGCCCCGAGCCGTCGGGGTGCGGAGGGCGGCGGGCAGGGCGCGGAGGGTTTTCAAAGCCTCTTCCCGTAGCGTAAACACTTCGCGTTCAGAGCTGCCCGCAGCGGGGTCCCGCCGCCCCGCAGCAGACACTCGGGCATAAACAGTTTGCATAACGCTTCCTCGGCCGGTTACAAGCTGAGTGCCAGTTTCCTTCTTTAAAAAGAAGAAAAAACCCAGATGGGAAACAAACATTTAATCAGGCACAAGATATAAACGAAACATCACAAGCCATGTGTTGCTAAAATGCTTAAGCAGGAAGCATATGATTTTCCATGGATGTTTTACAGGTGAGTCATGGTATTCACTGCATGCTCTTACTCATTAGTGAAGATCCCGGTCCAATGGCATGTACAGTACATAGAATTGGATGATTTAGGTGAGCAGATGCATTAAGTGCAAGTAGGGAAAAACACCTTTCCCAGCACTGTGGCAGAGTAGGGTTCCAGCATGGAACTCTCAATGCTCTGGATTTATCCTTTTACTGAGTTCCTGTGGCAGCCAGCGTTACACTAGAAAGCTGTCACTTTTCATAACATGCGGTGCTCTGCATCGGTCATGCAATTCTTTTCTAATTCAAGTGAAAACAAACACGCTTTCAAAGGGGGTTTCCTCTCCTCCCTTTCATCCCCTGGGACCCACGTCTATGTGCCAGCAGCATTTCTCAAATCCTGCTGAAACCAAGGTCCCTTGCCCCAGATTTGACCCTGGGCGAGGAAGAGACCTTCTATGCCTGGCCTAAGGACAACTGCAGTCAGTGACCATGCATGACCAGGACTGTAGCACAGCCAGAGCTTGAAGCAGTTAAATACTCTCAGCTCCCAGGATCTCACATGGGATTTGGTAGCCAACTCCTCCTGGCCGGGCTCAGGCAGAGCCTTGTCCCTGCCCTGGGGACAGCTACGCCAGCCCTGCCAGGAACAGCAGTCGCGGAAACGTCCCATTGACCAGGTCCTCCTCCACTGCATCCCCAGGGGCAGCAGTCAGTGTGCAGAAAACAATAATCTCTACCTGTCCCACGGTACTGACTGAGAGCCCTGCTCTTTTTCTGCCGCTTCCCAAATCTCTTTGCAATCCCACAACTGAGGGAACCACAGTAAATGTTCATCTATTTGTTTAGCGGCTAAATGCACTGTGTTACACGTAGCCAAAGAATCCAGGAAAGCAGCCAAAGATATAAATTAGGCCAACTACTGGCTAGCCTAACTGATAATATGATAATAGCACTTACTTACCTATCCCTCAGGAATGCTACGTAGGTTAGTTAATGTTTATACAACACTTTGAAAAGGATGTTCGGGAGATGTAAGTGATGTTACATTAAACTTGCAGTTCTGTTTGTTTACTTTTCTAGAGGAAATATGTTCTGCACAGTTACGATAGGTCATCTCAGACACAGCTTTACCAGCACACCATAGGAAGCTAACTTGACTGAGCATTTCTTGTTCACTAAAAATTTCCCAAGACTGCTTACCCACTGAAATACAGAGACTGGATTCAGAAGTGTTTTCTACTGGGTTCATAGTGAGCATTCCACGTATGTTCTGAAGAATCGCTACTGAAAACCTGTATAGACCTTTGGTGGTAGATATGTTTTTTATCCAGGGTGTTTCTTGAGGAGCAGTAGAAGTGGAGAACGCTGTCAGTCTTGGAAGGCTTAGCAATGCTAGTGTGTAATATAGCTTAATTGCAACTATGACACTGTAGACAAAAGCTGAATTAACCCCAGATAAAGGACTTATTGGATGCTAAACTGAAGTGACCTTTGGACATAACAAAAATGCCAAGAAGACATTAATTGGTGCACAAAGCTGACTATGTATGACTGGCCTGGTGATAAAGAAGACATTATGCACCTCAGATGCTTTGGCCTGCACACATCAGAGTCATCAGAGATTTTTTTTTTGTGTCAAACAGTTATAGTTCATCAAATACAGCCTCGACCTACTTGTATCTATTAATAAAGAAGTGGAGAGCCCCTAATCAAACATTCCTGCACCAGGAGGGTTATATTGCCAATGGTTTCACATTAAACCCCATGGTGATTTTATTTTTCTTTGACACTTTAACTGTGGATTTTTAAATCAACAAGGCTTCCAGAAAAACTTGAACAAAAACCGCAGAGCCTCAGCTGCAAGGCAGATTGCCAGCATAATTTCAACCAGAGATTCTTTTTTCCCCCCCTTTACACACATCAGTGACAACCTTTCCAAAATTAGGCAGTGCTTCAATTAAACACTGACGTCGGCGGCAGTTTGGTTCTGTGGGGAGATTTGGGGTAGGGATGGAGTGGTGGGAAAGAGCGTGAAGGCTTGAGGTCATTACTGGCAGGAGATAGTCCTATCTAATCTTGCACCCCCAACACCTGATCTGCTGCATGGTGAGCTGGGTCACATCAGTGCCATCCCCCGTGGCCATCATGGCCATCTCCTGGCCTTGTGGTGGCATGCGGCCTTGGCAGCAGTCTGTCTTTCTTGTGCTTTTCTGCACTTCCCCAGGATCACCTGGATCCCCTTGGAGGCCTTGGGGCATGAGTGGCATGGCCGCAATCATTGTCCCCAAAGCCTCAACCCTGCTCTGGTCCCTTAGGGCAGGAGGGCAAGGTGGAGGCATCTCTCCTGCCTGCTGCCTGCTCTGCATCTCATGGTAGGGATTTTCCCAAGTTCAGGGAAAACTTGAGGGGGTTTGGTTTTTTTTTGCTTTCGTAGACACACTGAGCTCCACGGAGGGGAAAGCTGAGCAGCAGTGCCACACTCTCCCACAGTCCCACCAGGGCTCAGCAGGTACCAGCATCACATGGTGTTGGCAGGAGCAGTGTCCCTGAAAAGCGTACTGCAGGCATGTCTGCTCTGAAAGGGTGGGGTGCTTCCACCTCAAGAGCCAGCTTCAGCCCCTCACTCTCTTGCAGGTCTGGGCGGTGTGGCAGGAGCGAGCAGCCCCTGTGAAAAGGCCTGCAACCCCCGCATGGGCAACCTGGCGCACGGGCGGGTGCTGCGCACGGAGACGTCCTGCGGGCATGATGCCGCCGAGCCCTTCTGCACCTACACCGAGGACACCGAGCGCCGCTGCAAGCGCCCCACCTGCGGCCGGTGCAGCCGAGCCCACGCGGGGCTGGCACACCCCCCCGCCGCCATGGCTGACTCCCCCTTCCGCCTGCCCCGCACCTGGTGGCAGGCAGCCCAGGATGCCCCCAGCGAGACCATCCAGCTGGACCTGGAAGCCACCTTCTACTTCACTCACTTGATTATGGTCTTCAAGTCGCCCAGGCCGGCTGCCATGGTGCTGGAGCGCTCCCAGGACTTTGGTGAGACGTGGAAGCCTTACAAATACTTTGCTGCTAACTGCTCAGCCACCTTCGGGCTGGAGGATGATGTGAGGCAGAGAGGAGCCATTTGCACTTCCAGATATTCAAGTCCCTTCCCCTGCACTGGAGGAGAGGTAAGTCTGCCTGTGTTGGTACAAGAAAGCCCCTGCTCCAGCCTCCTTTCTATCTGCAATCTCTACACTGGTGTTTATGCTCCATATTTTGTTACACCAGCATCCCTTGTCATCGCACGTATTTCACAAGGTGAATTATCGCAATTCTTTCCTAGGTGATATAGGCACCGCCCTGTCTCTTGCTTTACTGAGCTCATAATCCCCGTCTTTTCCAAAAATTCCTCTCCTTTCACCTGGTTAACTCCCACACGCAACTGCAACCTAGGCATATGCTGCTGATTCCTTGGGAGCACCAAAGGGAACATCATTCTAGATGGCCTTCTCCAGATCTTGCAGTTGTGTGGTTTTGGGGTGATGCAAACCAGTCTGACTTTGACCAAAATGCAACTACATTAAAATTAAAAGTCACCAGATTGATTTCTAATAGTGACTGCCTTCACTGAGAAGTAGGCTTGTAACCAGTGACAATAGCTACTGACCACACTGAAGTATGGTTCCCATAAACCAGGTTAGCCAAATAATTAAGGAACTTATATCTTGTCTTTTTTTTTCCCTGTGTGCACTTACATGAAAAGAACTTGAAAAAAGGAAAAACATCACATTTGCTTAGAAAAAAATAATGTAAAAGATGATTTTCAGTATCAAAAACAGCAGATAGTAACATACATTTTGAAGTGCTACCAATAATACTCTTCCCTTTAGTGCTTAAGCCTGTCCCGCTGTGCTGGAGAGCCTCCCCTGGGAACCACGGCCATGGAGCTGCCCTCCTGAGTTCCCACTTGTGTGGACGCATCCCCGGTGACCAGCTCTAGATTTTAAAGGCTGCTCCCTCTAGTGGCCTGATTTAATGAACTTGCTTGCAAGTTTAATCAAACTTAAAATTCCCCTCTGGCCTACCAAAAGAAAGGAGAAAGTCTGTTTGGTGAGTCAGGGAGTCGCTTATATAATTGCAGTTTCTGCTGAGAACTGGTTTTGAGGTGGAAACCTGGTACTTGAAGACCATTTTGAGAAAAATCATGTATTCAGACCCCTTTGCAATCATTTGGGGTCACCTCTAGCCATGCTCTGGCTAGGAGTTGACTCTGCAGAAATACTGAAAGCTGTTTTTTTACCAAAATGCATCTCTTAGCTGTGTCTCGGGAGGCAGAGAGTGTCTTGCCCAGGAGAAGCTGCTCCATGCTCTCCTCAGCTCCGAAACAAGGATCTCTAGACCTGTCAGACAGACCCAGGATGATTATTTCTTTAGGCTTTATATCAGATGGCTGGTGAGAGCAAGTGCTATCTTTCTTTCTTCTGCTGCCACCCTTTGTTCATGCTCCCAAAAAAGCTGCCTAAACTTCTTTCAGAGTGGATATATATAGAGGCTTATGAGAAAAGCGAAGAAAGACCTTTCGCCATGGCCTGTTCTGACAGGACAAGAGGCAACGGTTTCAAACTGAAATTTATTTAGATTGGACGTAAGACATTTTTTGGTTATGAGGGTCATGAGGCACTGGTACAGGTTGCCCAGAGAAGCTGTGGATGCCCCATAACTAGAAGCATCCAAGGTCAGTTTGGATGGGGCTTTGAGCAACCCAATCTACTGAAATATGTCCCTGACCATGGCAATGGTGTTGGACTAGATGATCTGTAAAGGTCTCTTCCCATCCAAACCATTCTGTGGTTCTAAATCAGGGCTAGCTACAAAGTGAGACCTGCAAAAGAAAGTATGTACGTACCCCACTGGGAATTTTTCTGGCCCTCAGCACTTGTGCCAGCCTCTGTGTCACACCACCCTGAATCATAAAGCTATGCCAGCCTGTGAGGCAGGGAAGAGACTGTAATCCATAGCTCTTAGGCCAGCCAGTGGGACATGTCTTGGGTGTATAACTTACACACTTCTTTTTCATCGTTTGAAGGGATTGTGACTCAGGGATGAGAAACCCAGGGCATCATACAAGGCAGTATTTGCGTCATTTGTGTTAGGTCCCACGTAGCTAGCACCTGCAGTTTTCGTTGTGGTCACACCAGGATGGGGGCTGTACCCGGAGAGAACCTGTGCAAATCCCAGCCTCAGGCCAGCTCCTCTGTGGGTTGGCGCAATGTGTGGGGACAGTAGAATCAGGGTCTTGTGTGTAGAAAGCAATGCCCATCTCAAGAAGAAAAGTTTGGTAGTGTTTGATCCATCTGCAGTAGCATGCTGCAAAAACAGGCTATGTGCCAAGTTTGCTCCTGTGGAATCTCTTCTTTTGGCATCGCTTTAATCTGTGTTATTGCAAAGAAGCTATAAAAGTCAAGAGCGTTTAATTGGTCCAGTTTTTAAACAAATGTTGCATCCAAGGGGCTGGAGCTTAGAAGATTTTGCTTGTATGGCACACTTCAGTTCTCTGCACTTAAACACCGCTTTTTACCTGCAAAGTAATAGCAGCAGCTCTCTGGTGACCAGATGGCAAGCCTGCATGCTTAGCAAATATCACATTTAATTTATTACAGTGTGCTACATTCCAGCAATTACTTGTAGCTGCCAATAGCAACATGTATCTCACCTAAAGAAACATCCTAGTTTTGTGTTCCCTTTGGAGTTATGTTGTGCTTTACTCCCACTTCTGGTAGTACCTAATTTCAGACATATGGAAACGGTAATTTTCACTTGAAACAGTGGTTTCAAATATGCAATCATCTCAAATGTTCAGGTCTGAAGAGTACTATTCATTGCAACTCATTTACCACAGTTTTCTTTAAAGGACAGATACAAATTCTGTGAGTGCTACTGGATTTCTTTAACTTTTTAGATTTTCTTTAACTGCGATGTAACAATTGTAACCCGTGATCCAAACTGCGTCACCACTTTCTCACACTTCAAACATTTCAATGCCACATGTGCATTTCTGGGCACAGTGTAAGGGCTTGCAGGATTTTGGAGGAGGCTGGGATCTCTGCATGCAGCTGACGGCTTGCTCAGCCCCTTGGATGAGCAGTTTGCCTCAAGTGAGGCCTCAGGCGGTGGTGACTCACCCCAAATGGCACAGACTTGCGGCTTGTTGGGCTGGTGGTTTCTGGTTCTAGCCCTCTGCAAAGTGCAGGTGGTGCTGATCTGCCTGTGTTTCTGCCTATCATTACAGTGCCTGCAAGCCCCCATTCAAGGCAACAGTGTGCAGAATCCCATACTACTCAGGGGCTTATGACCTCTTTTCGGTATATCACCTGTCTTAATTTGGGTCAAAGCTGTATCTGCCTAAGTTTTTATTGCAAAGAAAGATCAGATGTTTTGCATTCTGCCTTCATCATCATGAGTCATTCCTTAGATGCCTACTTCAACTTGTATGACAAAAATCCTCCCTCATCGGAGTTTGCCATGATGTTGATCTTGAGAGGATTTACGATAGTGCAGAAAGCAAGCTGCCAAGCTTCCAGGTTCATTTCAAAGATCAAGACCTCGGAAATGCTGAAATGGCTCTGGGAGAGGCCTTTCATCCTTCTTCTGTAGTAGTGCAGGTCTGGGCTTCCCTTTGCAGTGGTGGGACTGGAGTGGTGGAGAGCACTGGGAAAGCGATGTGTTTGGAAAGTGGCACCACAGCGGTGGGAACCAGAAGTAATTATGTCACATGCCACATGTGGCACTTGGAAGGTCTACTGGCTTGGCAGGTTTCTGCTCTTCTTTGCTGTCTGTCCCTAATGCTGCAAAACCACCAGACATGGTTCATCTGATCTGGATCCATCTGAGTACTCTACCCTGAAGCAGGCAAAAGATTAGGAGGGAAAGGACAGATCTGGACAGAACTGCAGAGGAAAGAGGTTGAAGGCTGCATGGCACGTACTGATGTCGAGAACACTGCACTAGTGCCCTGGGTTTGGTCTAGATGGCTTTCTCGGTGGAAATAAGCGTGAGTTCACAGGTCAGATGTGCTCAGAGAGTCTGCTGAGCTGATCCCCGTGCTTGAGCAGCCTGACTGTAGTCTGGCCTCATGCAAAGAAGAACCACTGTTTCAACAACCAGCAAAGCAGTGATTTCTCTGCAAGTATAGAGGAGCCAAACAAACCTACTGAGCCCCTCCTTAGCAGGGAACAGGAAAGGAGGGAGATGGTGGGTGCCCACCTCCTGCCCTGGCATACCCAGACATTTACTGCATCCTGTTCAGCAGTCCACCTGTGGCTGGCACTGCTTTCAGGAGCTCTCACTGTTCAACATCTAGGGCCAGGCTGTCCCTCACTATGAGGCCCCTCTAGTGTGGGTGAAGGAGAAGCAGGAGGAAGCCTTGCTACAATCAACTTGGGTTTCCAGCAAGCTTCAAGCATCTGCCTATTGGAGGGGTTGGATTTGCAACATTGTGAAAGGGACAAGAAACTGCTTCCCTGTCAAGGAATAATTTCAGACCAGCTGCATATAAAGGGGTCATTACAGACTTTCCCTATGCTTAATTTAGTGAATTAATTGTTTCACAGCAGCAGCTTGTTTAGCATAGGCAGAAACCACTAAATGCTGGCCTTATATCATCAGTGTTTTAAGAGAAAGGCTGAGGTCAAGTTTTAGCCTGAATCACACAAACATGCTACTAATCCTGAACATTTTCATTGTTTTTTAGGGTGTAACCCTTCAGCCACATCATTGCAAGGGCAATCAGAAGGGGATTCACCAGCCAAACTAATCTGATCCAAGTAAACATGACGTAGAAATAAACTCTTTCAGCTTCATGCTCAGACAGGAATACTAATTTTACTAGTATGCATAAAAGGCTGTCTTCCCTCCCATAGTTCAGATCATATTAATACTTCCTTTTTGACACTCTAATTTTAAAATTATCCTCGGCTAGAGATCACTGTTGAGGGCTCATCGACAAGGGGCCTTAACAGATGTTAATTCTTTTACTGTGAGTGAGAGTGACTGTCCACTCTGCAATGCAATTATCTCATTCACTTTATATTCCCATCTGTGGTCAATTCAGATTAGCTCGCCTGAGTGTCCCCATTTAGACAAGCTCCAGAATAAAAGGGCTTACTGAAGCAGAGTCTCCTTGACAAGA